AAATAACTTGAACCAGCACTACCCAATGAAGCCTCTTTGTAGAGCATTTTTGCCATCATATCAACCTCTCAAGTGATTTGATATCATTCTCTGATAGTGTGTTGTTTGACAAATACTGAAAATAAATTAAGCATTATCCATTCGACTGTTTTTTTCAAAGAACTCATTAAATTATTCAGGTGGATCCGTGTTTAACACAACTGGAACAATGACTCCGCATATCATCAACATTGCAGTTGGAGAAGTATGTTCATCTCCTAATAACTTTTCGATGCGTCTCTTTTTTTTTCCTGATAAAAAATCGTTAACGATGTTAAAGTAATTCCGAATTGGAAAGAGTTTTAGTAAAATTTCTAATAATATTAGCAAGGAAACAAAGTATACACATTTAGTTCGAAATGGTTTAAGAGAGATTTTATTCTTTTTCATATTGATGCTACTTCTCATTCAGGACATCAAAAGAAAGGTACTTTCACTTCTGCAAGGACGTCGAGCCTTAGTTGTCTTGTCGGGCATTGGTTCAATTGCAGCTGTCAACATCAAAAGTTCGAGCTCTACTGGGAGTGTAACATATGAGGTGTAAGCTCTAAATATTCCTATTATCATACTTTAAATTTATAGGAAACTGGTGCTGAGATAATATTTGATATTTCTATACATGAAAATTAACAATTCCATTTTTCCTTTCTTTGAATTTTAGAATGTGGAACATTTTCTCTGTAGGGGCATTTTGACATGGTGACTTTATCTGGTTCTTACATCAATGATGTTGATAGCCCTCATGGCCCTACTGGTGGTCTTAATGTCACTTTTGCCGGTTCAGATGGCCATCTTATAGGCGGCCCTGTCGAGGGAATTCTCATTGCTGCTAGCCCTGTTCAGGTACAAATTTAACTTACTTTAGCATTGAACCATCTGAATTCTGTACTAATTAAAGTACTTGACTATATACTCAATGCTAAAAAAAAATGAACTTATAATTGATCAATGTTTGATAGATGAGGTTTTATTGATTATGGATTATTCTATTCTAGGTGATTGCTGGGACTATAATGCCGTCCACTCCAAAGCCGAAAAACAAAGCTGTGGAGGATCGGGACACGTCAGGCGATCAAGACCGTACACTTGGCAGCTCGATAACTCAATCTAACATCCAGGCTAGTCAGAGCCTCTCCCCAATGGGGGTTTGGCAGAGCTTGAGATAATCGAACAGCGCAGAAAATTATGTTGACTTTTGACTGGTGATTGGATTTCATGACCACATTCGATGTTATTTGTTCAT